GGCCACTATCAGGTCACCTCAGAGTCCTCTCTTCTCCAGACTGAACAGACCCAGCTCTCTCAGCCCATCCTCACAGGAGAGGTGTTTCATCCCTTGGATCATTTTGGTGTCCCTCTTTTGGACATGCCCTATCAGGTCTCTCCTGTCCTGAGGACGCCATATGTGGATGCAGTACTCCAGGTGAGGTCTCACCAGCACAGAGGGGCAGAATCACCTCCCTTGATCTTCTGATCATGCTCCTTCTGATGCAGCCCAGGATACAGTTGGCCTTCTGGGCTGTGAGGGCACATTGCTGGCTCATGTCCAGCTGCCCATTCACTAGTACTCCCAAGTCCTTTTTGGAAGGGCTATGCTTAATCCTTTTATGTCTCAGCTTGTATGGATAGTGGGGGCTGCCATGACCAGGTACAAGACTCTCCATTTGGATTTGTTGGATCTAATGAAGCTCTCTTGGGTCCATCACTCAAGTCTGTCTTGGTCTTTCTGGATGGGATCACCTCCCTCAGGCACATCAACCACACCCCCAAACCTGGTGTCATCTCAAAACCTGTTGAGAGTGCACCCAATCCCACCATCAATGTCACTGATGAAAATATTAAGGGGCACTGGCTCTAGCACCAATCCCTGAGAGGCACCACCCTTCACTGATTTCCATCTGGACACTGACCACTGCTCTCTGGGTGCAAACTTGTAAGCAGTTCCTCATCCACTGAGCAGTCCATTCATCAAGTCCATCTTTCCAATTTAGAAAGAAGGATGTTATGGGGGACTGTGTAAAAGGCCTTACTGAAGTCCCAGAAGTGGCTCCTCCCTTGACCTCTGACACAGTTATGCCACCACAGAAGGCCATAAGTTGGTCAGCAGGAATTGTTCTTGGTGGTGCTATGCTGACGATATCATCTCCCTCTCTTCCATGTGCCTTAACTTCCAGAATGATCTGCTCTGTGTTCTCTGACACAGAAAGCTAACAGCTGGGAGCTCCTGGGCCATCCTTTCCACTCTTCTTAAATATGGGTATGATAGTGCTTTTTTTTCCAGTTACCAGGGACTACTTCTGACTGCTATGACTTTTCCAACATAATTAAGAGAGGGTTGGCATCTGCATCAGCCAATTCCCTCAGGATTCTGTGATGCATCTCATCAGGACCCAGTGACTTAGGGATGATCAGGTCCCTCGGGTGGTTACAAACCTGATGTTCACTTACACTGGGAGGGACATTGCTCCTCCAGTTCCCACCTTCCAAACCTGCTCAAAGTGGGAGGTGCATTTCAACAGTAGTGACAGTGGGTCACCTCCACTGGTGCAGATTTTTAAAAGTGTGGCATACAGGCTCCTATCCATTGCTGGTGAAAAAGCACATCTAATGCTGGTGACAATGTTTAAAACTAGTCTTTTGTAGCTAGAATTTGTTCTACTAAATAGTGCTCTTGTGCTCTTTGTTGTAGTTTCTATTGAAATAAACAGGAGGCATTACTTTTAAAGCAACCTATGTACATTAATGAGATCCACCCCTGAGCCTTTTCTTCTCCAAGCTGAACAATCCCACCTCTAAAAGCCTCTCCTCATCCTCAGAAGTAGATAGAAAATTGAAATACCTGCACTCTCATGGAGAACACCATAGCCTCCAAATACGTGAGCAGTTTCAAGACCAAGAAACAGTGCTGACAAGCTTGACAGATTATAGCTACCTTTTTACAGTCAGAATTCTGATTACAGATACCTCTGTGTTTCCTGACAATCTTATTTCTGCTCCTTTTCTAATAATTTTAAAGTAAAAGTGGCTGATCCTCTCCTTACTTGGTCATAACCACCTTCCCATCTATCAGGGAAGATTTTGCAGATTACTCCCACTTCATGTTAAAATATCTGCACATCACTGTAATTTTATCTGTTACTTTTCTGAGACATACAACACAAATAGGAAACATGCCAGTTCTGTAAATGGTATGCATGACTTACAAAAGTTAACAGCACTCTTCTACCCACGCTGAACTTTGTTTCACCTGGCCCAATTTTCACCAGTCTTTGTCACCTGCTGAGCACAATGAAAACCCTATTTATGATACTCCAGAAGACACCATCAAAACCAGGTTAAAAGAGATTCTATCTGTAGTACTACTGCTAGTCTGACCATGCCATCCCTTCTACACCACTTTTTGACTACAATTTTCTCTGTATTAATAGTATCACAACACCATCCGTTTCATTCCTCAATATTTTAACCCCATCACTATCTCTTTGCTGCAGATATTCAAATTCTGAAAGCTTTCATGTGAAATCATGTTTTAATGCGTCTCATAGCTCATAACATGGAATAACACTTCCTCAAATTTCCAAGGCAGATATAACACATACTGGTACACATTCTACATTAGCAAATCTGTAAAAATAGAGTAAACAACTGCAGTAGTCAAGAGGCAACATCAAAGTAGCCCATGAAAGAACCTGAGGCAATCTTGAGATCAGTGTTCTCACCATCCTGGCTCCACTGAGCTCCCCAAATCAGAATTTCTAAACCTAACCCACGTGCTTTGAGCATCACCACAGATTCTCTTACACTAGTGATGCTTAATCCAATTTAGCTAAGGTCTCTCCTTAAGAAACCAGTCCTTTTCTTGACATTATCACTAAAAATCTTTCAAATCTTTCAAAAACAAAAACCTAAATATGCCGTCCACTTATCCTCATTTTCTCTTAAGAGTACTCCAATTATTTTAATGTTTGAAACTTCCACAGTGCCATGAAAATAGCTGACTGCTTAATAATCATTTTTGCATGTGTGTAATTAATATTTTTCAAGAATGCTTACATCTCAACCTTTAGAAAGGCAAAAAAAATTCTATTTACACCACATTTTTTTGTATCAGTCAGGTAAATAGCACCACAAGTAAGCACTGCTTTCAGATACTTCATACAGCAAGAAATAATTTCCAAAATGCAAATAACTTATGCAGATTTTTGTCATTTATAAATTTATAATGCAAATTGAAGCATTATCTATATTTTATGCATGGATATAACACACATACCAACAGGCTAACATTTTACTACCAACTAACAACTGCATTAGGTGAAGCATTAATGTCAAAGAGCAGTTCCATATTTGAATATGTCAAACTCCTCAAATTTTACATTAAAAAAAATCTTCAATCAAGGCCTATAAACCTGAAATAATAATTACAACAGAAGATAATGAATACACTTAACAACAAATGGAAGAGTGAAGAAACTTCCAGAGTGAATACACAGCTCTGAGATACCATTACAAAACATGCAAACAACAAACTGGAATAACAAATTAGGTAAATCATGCCAGTGGTTATTCTTGGTAATAAGACTGTTCTCATAAAAAAACAGTGATGTTAAATGAGGTAGTGTCTTCAAGATTTCCTTCCCCTCAGAAACAAACAAACAAAAAAAGACACAAAGGAAGGGGTGCAGGAGAAATTCTGCCTGGCAGCAAGCAATCACAGCAGATGCTGTTTTTCTTTCTCTCAAACCTTCCCTCAGAACATCCTTCTCTTCTCCCCTCATACTGTTCTATTTCAAGGCTTCTGAATTGTATTAATTCATTTCTTCCTCTCAAATTATTGCCTATCCTCAGGACTTCTCTGCAGGTAAAAAGCAATGTATAAAGCAAGCATATAAATTACACAGATATATACATATGTAGACAGAAAAATAACCGTAATTCTGACTTCGCTAATGGTTACCTGACACACTTCCTGTGTTTCAAATAAAGCAGTCAATGAAGGAATCAGTACACACTACATAATATGTACTTGTTTGCCTGTCTCTTGATGAAGTGCACAGAGAATAAGAAGAAATGGAAGATTATCTATGCCTAACTATTGGAGAAAGCTCCAAATTCCATAAAGACAATCACAGCTGTCAGATTTAACAGCTGCCTGCAAAAGCTCACCTGGGATTTCAGGCGGAAGCTACTCTCAGAAGAAAACACACTATAATGCTTTTTAATACAATATTTTTCACCAAGGTTTCATTTGTTTTCCTTAAAAAAGCACAATTCAGTTCACTCTGCTTTAATTTTAAAAGCAAACATTAGCTGCAATTCCTTTATTTGTCTGAAAGAATACGCTAAAATCATGTTAACACAAGAACATTTGAATACGATAACAGCATTAGTATAAATTATTGCAGCATTCCTCCAGCAAGGATATAACAATAAATAAATAAGCCTCTAACTGATAAAAATTGTCAGTGAATTTTAGTGCAACATTCTGAAACAATATGGGCCAATTTGGTTCAGGAAAAGAAATTAGTGTCCACTGCTATTTCTTCTACAGGTATTTCAGGGAGAGAAAAAAAAAATCTGACGATCAGCAGGAAATCATTTCTCTATTGTGCTTTAAGACATACCCGTAAGACCACAGTCTGTATATTCACTTTCTTATCCCTCTTTCAAACAAAAGGCTCTTCAATTAAATGAAGTGAAAAGGACAGTAGAAACTTCCTATTTGGGAAATGTCGAAATGCTGAACCTCCTTTGCTACCGGGCCTGAATAACCGAATAACTGAAAAAATTCTGATACAAAACGAAAACAAACAAACAAAAAAAAAAAAAAAAAAAAAAGCAATTAAAAGCATCTTAAATACAAAAACCTGTAAGCAGTCCCAAAAGACAAATCAGACCCAAACAACTTGAACCAAAGAAATTGATTTCTTAGAGGCCTCACAAGAGCTTTCTCAAATATCCTTGGATTTGTCAACTCTGAACTTCTCAAATTGAATCATTACAATCTATTTCTTTTGAACTCACATGAGCTCTACTTATTAGCATTGTTCTTTAAAACAGAAGAGTACACTACTGCAATGTTCTTTATATCACAGACCTCCCATTTCATTGCTTTTCTTAGCTGAGAATGCTGTCATGGCTTTTGAGTAAAGTTAATCACTGTGAAGCAATTGCACCCCAACTGCTTGTTTTAGTCAGCTGAAACACACAGATAAATAAGCTTCTAGAAAAATTAAAACTTGCCATGACTTCGGCTCCCCAAAATGGAGATAATTAATGCTGTAGAGATCCATATCTTCAGTGTGCCATGCAAATGTTGTTTTCCACATGCCAAAATACAGGTATGGGGTATTCACACCCTCAATAGAAATTCCACAGTCTTCTCCTACAACATCCAATATTGTATTAAGATGAGCAATATTCCATTCCTCAATACCCTGAAAAAGATACATAAGAGGTGTATTATTAAATTAATAAAATGATGGAACTTCATATAATAGTATTTCACAAAAGATACATGCCCTTCAAAAGACTGTAGATAAGCAAAAATTAATAAATACTCCATCAGACTCTTAAAGCTACCCCAAAAACTTGTTTTGTCCTTAGCAGAATTTAGATCAGGTGTTAAGCCTGACACGTTTACAGCAGAGAACACAGATAGATAGATATGCATGAGCTTAACATTTAATATTTCAAACTTTACACATATTGAAATACTGTACACAACAGAAATAACAGCTGCAGACAAAAATCTATGAGTATCTATGAGCTATTTGTCACTAGGCATATCTTTCCTTTTTACTTACAAAATAATATTAAAAAATTAAAATGCTTTTAAATTATTTTCCTATGTGAGTTTACCACTTTTCTGAAAAAGCCATAAAAAAAATGAAACAATCACTTCAGAGATATTTCTTTCTATAACCATAACAAGCTGCATGACACAGCATTAGAGAAGAAATCCACTAATTTCATGGGATTTCAGACATTTTCCTCCCATTGTTGCCTAAAGTTTGGGTGTTAAAAGCCACACATGTAGTTTTCGTTGTAATTCACGTTCACAAAACATGATTCCAATTTCAGGTAATACAGCGTGTAGAAGTCAGTGTGACAAAGATCAAAGCTACAGAATTGAAGGGAAAGAGATCAAACTTCACTGTAACAGCAACCGTTAGCTCCTCGAAGGAAGGCTTCCGAATTGACTTCTTGAGACTCCGCATGTGACTGCCTGCAATGATGACCTCACTTAAGAAGAAAGGCTACCCTTATGTCACCTGGGAGTCTTAGAAAGGAGTTATTTTTACAGAATGAGTTCATTCCGGATAACAAATTGATTTATTTATAATGAAAGCTTCTGCTCTCATGCACTTATGTGACATAGAGGCGCTTGAAATAAAAACATGTAAAAATAAATTTATGATAAGAACTATCAAAGAGAATTAAATGCAAATACGTATTCAAGTCCTAGATGTAGGTAAAATTTCTACCTTTCAAATCTAAAAATCAGTCGCAAGACAATAGAGCTGTCAGATACAAAGTTTATTTGCAGAAACAATTTTAACTAATTATTCGTCAAGTTAATTTACTTTTTTGATTGGAAAAAAACTCACGAAATTAACTGCTGTTCACAGAGTATGTACGGTCAGTTTGGAGAAACAAACTAATATGGCAAAATAAAAGCAATGACTTAACCACGGAGGTACACTGGAACATCATAAACACACCAGATAAAAAAAGCAACTGTTGATCTAGGTAGTATCCTCCTTCTGACAGAGGGCAAAAACAAGCAAGAATCAGAATACCCTTCCAGCCTCCAGCAATTTGCAGATTAAAGGTTTCACCAGAGAGGTGCTATTCATCTGCTCAACAGGACCCAGTGGGCTTTCTACCACTTAAAATTTATCTATCCAGTCACCATCTTTAATATACAAATAAACTTTTTCCACTCATAACATCTAGACATCTTACCCTCCTTTTACTAAGAACTAGTTAGAACTAAGTGATAGCTAATAGACAAAATTAAGAATAAACTGTCTTTTTATTTCACATACTTTCATCCTCAGTTAAGTCACAACCAAACACCAAGCAAACAGTTAGTGCTTTGTCCCTGAAAGGAAAGCAAATCCTCCTACGGAGAAAAAGGTTGCTTAACACACCTAACACAAAACACAAGATCCAAAACCCCTATAATAAAGATGCATAACCTATTTTCATTTGCTAATAGCCATTCTGGACAAACTACAGAAAATACAGGTTTTGAGGAAAAGTTCTCTGAAACTGGTTTAAATTCCAAGATCACTGTGGTTCATTTTAATTATTTCTACAGTCCTTAACTATTTTACGCTTAGGTTAATGCAAGTTATTACTACAAATTATTACCAAATCTATTACTTTACCTCATAGATGTAGCTTTTCTAGTATTCCAAAACACTACACAAAATGATTACATGAATTCCACTTAAAATATTGACTCAGTTCTTTTGCCATAGTTATGAGGCTGTTTCTAGACATCAGAATTGCAATGCAGAACAAAAAGAGCATAGGACCTGTAGTTCGGCAAGTCAACATATAATCGTACTTCAAAAAGTTAAAGTATACCCTAGAAGAGTATATTATATTTAATAACCATTATTAGATGAATGCCATTCAAATTCTTTGACCCAGAAGTGAAGCTTCTTACACACGAAAGAAAAAATAAAAAGAACATTTAGGCATACTCTACTCAATGTAAGGAAAGGATCGAATATTTATTCTGTACTATATCTCAATAGTGTTTTATAATAACTGTAAGTAAAGTGTAAAGAACGTATTTCTAGCATCCACACTTTCAATAGCAGATTTTTGAATACATGCAATCTGTATTCTTCTGAACCACTGTGCTGCTTCTATACAGTACCATGCTCTGTGGTACAGTTTGTACCATACAATTCAACACTGGGGGGGGGGGGGGGGGGGGGGGG